AGAGCAGACGACAGAACATTGCTAGAGTGCACGAAAGGAGGTGAAATGAGACAAATTTAGAGAAGAAAATGTTTCGGTCACAACTCGGATTCGAACCCGGGACCTTTGATTGAGAGGTCAACACCTTAACCTCTAGGCCACGAGAGCCCCTGAAGCTGCTCTATTGCTGATAAGCAAATCAAAGACTTATAAATACCGTAGTCTATTTTCTTGTTTTACGGCGCTCGCAACTGCATAAGGTCATAAGAGCACGGGGGACACATTCAGAAAATTCAGTTTGATAGGAATTAATTACAAATTGTTCCCGCGTGGCGACCGACGCCGACTCTCACCGATTTTAGGACCACCAAGGGATCTTTTAACGTGCACAACTTGCAAACGTGACCTTATCCGAGAAAGCTATGTGTTAGACCTTACCTACCCCCAGAGTAAGATAAGGAGCGTGGTTAAAAGACAGCAGTAAAAGCCAGGAGTAGCAGTAGTCAGGAGCCCAGAGGGGGAGGGGAGGCAGAAAGTGGAGATGAAAGCAAAATATGTCAGAACGTGATATTAGAGAGCAGTTTTAGTTTTAGTAAGTGTTCTACGGCACTGGCAACACAATTAGGTCATATAAGTGCCGAAGGTTAGAGGTGTTACAAGAGAGCAACAAGCACAAAAAGAAGGAGGAGAGATAAGGACGATAGATGTTTGATAGGAAAAAAGGAGCAAACCACACAAGAGCACCCGCCAACCACCCACTTAGAGAGCAGGAGAGAAGGTGAAAGTGGACAATTTTGGAAAATAATGGTTTCCGCCGCTGTCAGGTTCCGAACCCGGGACCTATTGATTGAAAAGCGAAAGGCCTTGTCAGTATGTTAGTGTTTTAGCGTCTATAAATGGCTGCTTGCATTGTATGCTTCCCAGGAAGTTGAGTTTGTTTCAGAATGCTCTCAGGTCTGCTGGGGTAATAGTATAGATTGTGAAGCGCATAGAGCTTGCTGTTGAGCGGGGATTTGCTCTTTACAAATGCTATCTATTATTATTAACACAGTATCCTTTAGACCATGATTCCTGTTTAGTTGTTTGTTTGAGTAAAGAGAAGCACATCGACACAATAATGGTCATTTAGTGCTGTGAAAAGGTAAGACAGACAAACATAAACAACAGAGGTAAAGTAGAGAAGTAGGACCTACCAGTGGTGCCCCCCCCCCTCCCAACCACCCACACAGACTACGACAGCCCAAGATCATAAATAGTCTGAAAAAAAAATGGTGAACTTGTGTAGGTTTAACGCCCTTATCAACACTGTTGCGTTATTTAAGAGGAGGAACTTCCGAGTTTAACGTCCACCTCCGAAAGGAGGGCTTTGAATTTCAACCTTTGTTCAGCGTTTTACGGCGCTCTCACAACTGCATAAGGTCATATGAGCGCGCGGGACACATTAAACATTTTCAGTAGGTAGGAAGTTTTGAATTTTGTTCGGGTGGCGGCTGAAACATACTCTATCGATTTTGGACCACTAAAGGATCTTTAACGTGCACAACGAGATTTTTCGCCCTTATCCGAGAAGGCTAGGTGTAATCTTACCTACCATAAGACCAGGGTTGTGGCTGAAAGACACCAGAGTCAGCAGGAGCCAAGGAGTAGCAGTAGAAGGGCTGCAGAAAGAGTCAGTTCAAAAAAAGTTTTAGTAAGAGTTTTACGGCACATGCAACACAATAAGGTATTATAAGTGCCGAAGATTAGAGGTGTTACAATAGAGTAACAAAAACAAAAAAAGAAAAAGGGGAGATAGAGATGATAGATTTTTTATAAGAAGGAGCAAACCCCACCAGAGCACCCGCCAACCACCCACAGAGTCAAGGGCCCAGAGGAGAGGCCAAAGGAGGTGAGGAGGTGGTGGCAGAAAGAGGAGACGAAAGTAGAGTAGAGAAGGGGAACAAGTTAGAGAGAAAAAAATCCGTGAAATCCGGATTCGTACCCTGGACCTATTGAATGAGAGGCGAACACCTTAACCTCTAGACCACAAGAGCCTCCATGGACGTCTTTAACCCTATTCATACGCCCTGGGGTCATTTTGCACACCCGAGGTTGTATTCTTCAAATTTTAGCATACTTCTAGTAAAAAGATCTCTTTGAAACTTTCAGTATTTCTCCAAAAATCATTTTGGCAGACTGCTATGCAAAGGGTACGGATCGGATTAACGAGTAAGTTTCCTCTTTGGAAAGTGGTGGCAGGGAGTTCCCCACTTCGTATGGATACGATAGTAAAACACGACGCACGGATAGGGTTAAGAAAGCATAAAGTCATATCAGACCGTGGTATGCTCGCAGGGTCTAATAAATTGTGCTTAAAATGACGACCTGAAACGAATCAAGGAAGGCACAGTGTATTATCAACAAATCGCCACCCAGGAATTCGAAATCTGTATCTGCTGAGTACTTAGTTTTGGGAAATCTGACGTCAAAACTTTTGAGTTTCACAAACTGTCAAGCTTTTTCTAATGCAATTCTTTGAATATCTTGAACACGACTTTCGCATAATCTGACGATTCTGATAGAGCAGAGAGAGGGCTTTACTCTGGTTTCGACCACATGGTCTTAGTAGCTCAAAGCGGCTACAACTGTCACAGAGAACTTTTAAATTCTAGTTTTTTAGTTTTAGTAAATGTTTTACGGCACTTGCAGCACAATAAGGTCATATAAGTGCCGAAGATTAGAGGTGTTACAAGGGAGTAGCAAACATAAAGCAGAAGAAGGACGATAGATGCTTGATAGGAAAGAAGAAGAGAACCACACCAGAGCACCCGCCAACCACCCACATAACGACCTTCGAATAATCTTACAATTCTGATAAAGCAGATAGAACATTATTTTGGTTTCGACTTCATGATCGGAGTTGCTTAAACCGGCTACAAATGTCAAATAAAACGTTTTAAATTCTAAAGCAGTGAAGTATTATTGGTGATATTTCCTAGAACCACGGGGCAGAATGCTATATCGTAGTGATTTAAGGAAAGGAAGGACAAGGAGAAAAGTGTGGAAGATTTTTCCGTTGTAAATTTTCGTGGAATCCAAGCAAAGGAATGCATGGAGAAAATCGTCGATGTCTGTCGCAGATCTGGCACTTGGCGATGATGATGATGATGATGTTGATGATGATGGCGATGATGACGATGACGATGACGATGACGATGACGACGATGATGATGATGATGATGATGATGATGATGATGATGATGATGATGATGATGATGGTGATGGTGATGGTGATGATGATGATGATGATGATGATGATGATGATGATGATTATGATGATGATGATATTTTTTTGTACATGTTCCTGAAGAAGCCTTTTACCGGGCGAAACGTCAAACTTATTAAATTTGAAAAGTCTACTAAGTCTCAAACCCTTTTTATATTCCCTGTAATCTACAATGATGATGATGATGGTGATGATGATGATTGTAAAACAATAAGGTCATATAAGTACGGAAGATTAGATGTATTACAAAAGACTGGCAAACCCAAATAAAGAAGAAGGAAAGATAAGTATAATAGATCTTTGACCGGAAAGAAGTAGAAAACCCCACCAGAGCACCCACCAACCACCTACGAAAACACTATGTTTCTTTTCTGACAACAAGTCGGGCGATTGGTTTGTGCCACGATAGCCACTTTGCGGCTTCAATCTGGCGAGCAAACCGACCCGACCCGACCCGATCGTACCACTGGGCACCAGGTATATCCGGCCGAACTGTTTCGATCGGTTAGATGCGTGTAATACCCGCTTATTCCGACTTTTTTGGGGGGGGCAA